ATGAGCCCTCGCTCCGTTTAATCTGTCTGGAAGGTTTTCTGCTTACAGCTATTTATCATGTGAATGTGTGTGTGGAAGGAGGAAGAAATTTGAAAAAAGAAAATGAAAAGAGGAATAAAAAGGAGGAATCTGTCCGGTCTGAGTGATCCAACAATGTGTGAGCACGAAAAGAAGAGCTAAACAAAAGAGGCAGAGAAAGAACAAGAGGACCAGCGGGAGCGAGAGACATACTGAAAGAACACAAAGTGGGAGGAGAGAGAGAGATGCTGACAGAGAGAGAGTGAAGGGGGCAAGTGGGGGCCAGGGGAGAATAAAGAGGGAGGGATCAAAGAATAGAAAGAAAGCTGAGTAGCAACAAGAGTCCACTGGAATTTAGACAAAACCATTTTTCACAGGAAAACCTGCCTCAGAGCTCTCTCTCTCTCTCTCTCGAAAAGTAATTAGCAACTTCTTTCAAATATAGATTTGTCATTTGCTGCCTTTCTCTGTTTTATATTTTAATAAAATGATCTTTGACAAATGACAAAGGACAGGATAATGAAAATAATCATCAAATGCAACCCTACTTAAGATTGTGTCCAGCTCTAAGCTTGTCTTTGTGCCATTCATGTCTGCGCAAGTGTGTCTGTATGTGCATGTTATGTGTAGGTGTCCATGTTTATTTGCAAATGTGTTATTGTACATTACAACTTAAGTATGATGTGTGAGTTTCCTGTATTATATACAGGGTAGAGGTTGTGTCCTAGCTTACAACTGGATGTCTGAAGTACATGTCTGTGTGTCTGTAACGTGATTCTTAGAAGACGGTGTAGATCTCAGTCCAGCCCTGAAGACATGGGACGACACACCGACACACCACCGTACACCATTAACAGCTTTCCCAGCTGGGTAAGATAGATACGGGATACTGTGGATTATTCTATTAACATTTCAACACTGTAAAACAATCCAACTGTTGTTCAAAGCAATGAACTGTTATCCATCACAAAGCCAAATTCATATGTGAAAACAAATGCTAAAATCATGCGGTCATATAGGATTGGACAGTAAACACGGCATATACCGTGTGATGGTAGAAATGTGTCTGTCAGTACATATTTGGCAATACCATAGCACCGCAGAAGCTCACTGTGTCCCCCCAACATTGCCTTAAAGGGTTAGTTTGGATATTTTGGGGTTTGAATGAGTCAGTGAATTATGTTCAGTTAATGGAGGTCTGCATGCCCCCCAGTTTGGAGAAGCAGACATGAGTCAAGTAATGTACTGCTATGGATATAGAATCTAAACGTATTTTACATACCTAAAAGAAAAAAAAAAAAAAAAAAAAAAAAAAAAAAATCAATATCAAAGCATACGCTACATTTAGAATATTTACATCACTTTAACTTGCCGTAAGACAGCCCTTTCCGACGAGGAACTGAAGCCGTTATATCCCCCTCTTCAAAGCCACCAGACTCCTTTACCAAAAACAGTATTTTCCCCGCTGAACACTGGAGTTGCTGGTCTACCACTGCCTCAATCGGTTTGTTTGTTGGTTTGTTTTTAACCCTTTTAAAACAGCAAATTAACACAAACTAACTGGTCCGACTCCGGTCCCAGGTCAGGTTTTAAATCTCGGATTTAAGGAATCAAGTGGACCCATGAAGACATCGACTAAGGATCTTTAATTCAATTCAAATTAGCTTTATTGGCATGAATGTATAATAACAATATTGCCAAAGCATCATACATACTACATAAAACAATCAACCCGATACATTTCATTAAACAAGTAAATATATCTATATATTCTTTAATATATCTGGCTGTATGGAAGAAGCCTGACAGAAGATTTTATTCATCCCATCACCCACTCCTGTTGTAGGCCTACGCTTGTCCATTACAGATACTCACAATGTGGCAATATTCCCAACATAGACATCTGCAAACAGAGCACACACACAATGATGCAGTACATAAAAAATGCATGGCAAACCCTCCAAGGCCCAGTTCTCATGAGCACAGTAAACCCCCCCCACACACACACACACACACAGAGGTGTGCGTTTGGGGAGGGGGGGGGCGTCTGTCTGCATCCCTGATCTACCAGCTGTCAGACTCCGCCCCTACCCAGCCCCATTACTATGGCAACCCCATAAATAATGAAGGCTGCGGTGCATGCTGGGAGCCATCAGGCCAGAAAGGCAGAATCACATTACAGCCAACTTACATAATAATAACATAACACTCTGGTTTCCCTCAGCGAACCACAACTCTGTCCAATGATGTGCTGCCACGTGTTTCCCGTCTTTAGTGTGACAAATGATTTAATGAACCGCATATCTGCAGGGTAACCTGCACCAGAGCCACTGACTAAGAAAATTGATCCTTAAAATCACTGTTGCAAGAAATGACTTAAGGGGACCTATTATGCTTTTAATTTTACATTGTCAGATGTTCATGTTAAACATGTCAAACCAAAGCTTCAAATAATGAGGTAAAAATATTTAAAATAAATCCCTGTGAGCCAAAAAGGAGCATCTACTGCTTATTTTAGACAGATGCTGAAATGAGGGCCTGCATGAAGTGCCAGTATAGCCCCGTTTCAACCAATAGAACCCGGGCCTTTTAAGTCCCTGGATCTCTTTTCAAGGAACTAAAAGTTTCCTTCAGCCCACTAAAGACCTGCGAAGCTTAGGCAAATTAACCAGATGACATAGCCTGTACGCTGTACAAAGCGATGCACAGGCATCATTATTTGTAACCCCTATCCATGAGCAAAATTTATAAATGAACATCAGATTTGATTGGAATATAATGAAAATCTATAGGCTGTGACCATGAAAGCAGCTTTTTTGTGTGGGAGTATAATGAAGAGACACACGATAAAGTTTGTTACAAATTTAATAACAAACTGGAAAAGGCCATTGAGTTCATAAAATAACTCCAGCACAGAGAAAGCAATGCAAAAATAAAATAAACAGTTTGGTTATTATAACATTTCCAGCCGACAAAAGCTGCAGATCAGCTGCAGCATCACGTCTGTCGCCTGAGCGTCAGAGGAACGGGATGTTTAACGAGCTTTATTACCTGCTGTAATCAGCTGTTCTGTTTGTTTTGGACAAGAGGAGACAGACTTGGCTCTGTGTAAAAACTTCCGGACTGATGAAACCTTAAAACAACAACTTCAGTATTTAGCTTAACTGCATCAGCGGTTTGCTGTAAACACATCACTGCACACTGGCTGCTGTTTCCGAGCAGTACATTTAATGCTGACGTACAATCTCAGGCGGACATCGGGGAGACTTGAACTATTTGACTGTTGATTGTGATTTATTGGTTTGCAAACAAGGTGGAAAAGAGAGTCGTCGAGCAGTCATAGAAAAACACCCAACATTCTCCAGTTAAAGCCAGTAGCCTCTGCGCCCATTCAGAAATTCAGTGCAAGGCAAGCCCCACCCCCACAAAGTACCGGTACTTTCGGAAAGTACTGCCCCCCGAGCAGGGACTTTTTGGGGGGTAAAATAAAGACCCTAGGACTAAATTTAGACCCTGGTCCCTTCGATGGAAACGCAATGGGTTCCTCCAAAGGTTCCTAGTTCCGGGATGTAGTTCCTTTGGTTGAAACACAGCTTATAAGATCGAAAACTCTTTTTTTGCACTTTGAATCATGCAAAGCTGCCATAGAGGAGTCACAGAACTACAATATAGGACTGGAAAAGCAGAATAATAGGTCTCCTTAAGGCAATGCTCATGTTCTCACTCTCTTAGATAAAACAACAGTCAACAATTAACTAGTTCGTGTTTTCTCTTATCAAAGCAATTATCTGGCTTCAAAATATGGACAATTTAGTTAGTCAGTAACATTAAACTGCACTGAATAAAGACACTAATAACTCTGTTATCCCAATGTCAGTATCAATATACCAATTTATCCGAGATATCGGAGGATGACATGATAATATGGGAAAGCCAGACCACCAACTCATGGTCCTGATGAGAGTTATGTTATTTTAGTTAAGTTATTTTGTGACTCCAAAACTGAAATTTATGCAAAGGGGTGTTCATTATCTTATTTTCTGGGTGTGTCCATAATTTTTTTTCATACTGTCAAGACACTGCTGAAGAGATAATAAAATACTTGGAATAGAAGTTGATTGTTCTATTCTTACATCTGGGAAAACTTCCATATAATATAAATGGCACTGGATGTAACTGGCTGCTTCCAAGAAAGACATCATCGGATGGTTGCAGGCAAACCCTCCAACAATGGCATGACTGACCTTTACACTAAGACTGGGATATGAACAATGTGTAAAATACTGAAAACAATGGACTTGATGTTCGAGGGGTTAGAACCAGGGAGGCATGGGTGACATTTGACCAATACTTTGTCCTGACTTTGTTTATTAAATTTTACCATTTGTTTGCCCTTTTGGTCCTAAATAGTTTGGTGTGTTCAGTGTTAGGTCTTTTGGTGTTTGATTAATAAATCTGGATTGGCTTCCTTGTGGCAGTAGAAAGAGCTCATCAAGAGTTTTCATTTGATACGTAACCCATTTCGCCCAAAAATGTCACCTCTATTATTTGCCTATAAGATCTAACCTATTACATATGTAATAGATATACCCTGTTCCTGTACACACAATGTGTTGTCCGGCTAGCTAGTTAGTTGGTTAGTTATGATAACACAGCGATTTGCAAAGTAATTGCTGAGATCTGGCAACAAAAAAAAGCAGCCAGATGATCAGTCAGGTTGTAAACAAGATAATCATTTAGTGAGAATATCTGGACCACTTTATATGAAGGGAAAACTGAAAGTGACCCCACTTGAAATATCGGCAAAACTGTGTGTGCAAACGACTTCATCTGTCTGTAAACTGTGATGGATGTTTACAATGGACAGTTTTGTTATTGATTTTACCGTGCACAGTGCCACTGTGCAAGGCACACAACAAACTCCAACTTACAACTACAACAGAGAGATGAGCTGTCGTATGTGTTACACCAGCCCAGCTTACCTGTTAACGTTGTATCACAGAAAGGCAAAGAGACAGCTTCAACCTGCAGCCTGCACAGAAACAGAGCGACAGCTGTTATTACACACTATTCATCACAGATTTTACAGACTGTTCATCACCTTGGCACTTTTTTAAATGGAGGTCCATCTTATCAGCGGCTATTAAAACTATTTAATTCGCTCCACTTGCTCTTAAAGAAGGACATAACAATAAATCTTTCAGTCAGTCATCAGGATACGGATCAGTGCTCTAGGCTACCTAGAATATTAAGTAAGTATAGCAAAACATGCCTAGTCATAAAAATATCTTTCAATTTCTGTTTCTTTGTGTTGTCAGACATCCGCACAAGTATTAAATATATTTGATTTACAGGGGAGGAAATGCTAGCAGGCTAGCACAGGGTATTACTACCTCCTGGGTTGTTAGCATTTTCAGACACTTAATCAAATCACATTTTTATAGTCCTGCAGAGAAAGATGTGACAGAGACGGCGCTGAAATGACACTTTGAAATGTGAATGAGATGATCACAGAAAGAATCTGAGCAAAAGAGACAACAGTAATGGACACGGTGAGAAATGAAGACACACTTCTTGTACTCCCCACACTACACAATCAGCGTACTAAAGATCTTCTAGCAGAAAGCCAAAGTCGGATTCAGTCCGGACTTAAGGATCAACATCAAAATCCTGGAATAACTTTTAGGCCCCATCCACGATACTGTTTTTGTTTAAAAACTGAGTTTTTAATGTAGAACTGATCTGTGTCTACATTAAAACGACTGAAAACGCACATCTAGTGGCCATTCACGTACATTGGGCATGCGCATGCTGGTGTTAACATGAAGCAGATGGTCTACTCGCAGCTGCAGAAGATTTGGCAACAGATTTAAGTACTACAGACGAAGAACCACACCAGATATTTCTTTTGCATGGACCAATAATGAGCTGGAACGGTAAAGGCCCATTTATACTCCTGTGTAGGGTCTACGTGCGTACCTACGCCGTAGGCTACGCACGTAGCCATGCATTAATTCTTGTGCGTAGGTGTGTCTGCCATTCTGCAATCATACCCCCAAAAGCTAGTCTGCAGTAGCGCAACATCGTCCACTGTGTTGACTTTTGCCGGCCGAGCAGGCTAACTTCCAGTTTAGCCCTCCGCTAATGTAAATGGGGGTAAAATTGTAAACGTGCGGCTGGTGTAGCCTTTTCAAATGTTACCGACTGAATGGATCACATTCTGATAGCGAAACGAGTCATTTCGCTCAGGTTGCGACGGTCAAATATATTGATTCACTGTGTTACAGCCACCGTTTTGGCCGCTAGTAACTGTTATTCCAAACCTTCTTATATACAGTCTATGTTCCAAACGCGGAGTATTTCCGGTCGGCTCGGAAGCATTGCAAGGCTACCCAGCCGACCAATGACAGAGCTTACGGTCCGCGTCCACTCGACATGTAGTTACATTTTGAGGAGGTGCAAATCAGGCTATGGTGTAGCCTCTGCGTAGCCTCTGCGTAGCCCCGTAGCCTGCGCCGTCGATTTGACGCAGAATTATAAATTGCACTTTACTGAAAGTAACACGAGAGTTTAAAGCAAAGTAAATACAGTGACATGCACAGTACAAGTGTAGGCTCTAAGTGTTATTTGCTGGTACAAAATAATTTAATAAAATACCAAAACTAAAACTCGTCAGTAGCATTGCGTTTTTGCTTTGCTTGACTTACAAGATCCATTGAGAGAGCCAAACATTACCATCTGAGTCATCGTTTCTAAAGTCCTCTGTTTTTGCCCGTTCCCACTAAAAAACACTACCCGGAGTTTTAAAATAAAAAACAGAGTCAGCAGCCTTTTCAAACTTCTTTGTTCTAGGTCTTCGGATTCACTTCTGGACGGGAGGTGCAAACAAATACGTAGTAGAGTGGTTTGTCCCTTAGAGATACATTTGATCCTGAAATCAGACAGAGACAGGTAACAGAGACAAATTCCTTTCAAATATAGTATATGGTCAAAAGTCTGTAATGACACTGCTGTCCACATACTTTGCGTACATTCGGTCTGTTCTTGTATTTCTTTTAATAGCTTTGTCTAAAACCTTAGTTCCAATGAAGTGAAATCTTAATGAAACAGCATACAGCAATATTTTAGACTATGCTGTGCTTCCAACTTTGTGACAACATGTTCAACATGACAATGCCTCCATACACAGACCCAGGTCCGTACAGGCAGATATGGACCTGCCTTTGGGGTTTTTCTAGTTTGATGTGAAAGAACTTGACTTGCCTGCACAGAGCCACCCTGACCACAACCCCATCCAACACCTTTGGGATGAACTGGAACGGAGTGAATGTGATACCAAAATGAACAGAAAGAAATCCCGTTATTATTATTAGTTAGGAAAAGGGCTTCTATCAGTCTTTATCCCCCCCAGTCTTTCTGCCTTTCTTAGCAGATGGGGTCTGCATGCCTTCACACAAACAAACAGTCTGCAGTCTTATAAGTGAGAAGGAACCAGCTTGGTGTCAGACAAAGCTGAACAGATGAAAGTTTGAGCTAAGGGGGGAGAGGGGGGACAAACAGAAGGCAGGCAAGAGGTGAGAGTCAACCCTGCAGCTGTCCACACATTCACACCTTTCTGTGAGTAAACACACACACACAGTTTATACCAGGAGCCAGAAGGGCAATGCTAATGGAGTTATAGATTATGGCTTATTACGGTGGTGCTAAAGTCTCATTACCACAGGCTAATGCAACATGTCACACACACATACACACTCTGTGTGACAGTTGGCACAGCATTTGCCTTTGCTAATCATACATCCACTCACTAAGCTAAAGGTACAGGTGAGCTGCAGGTCTCGCACATACAACCTATTATCTGATGGACAGAGATAAGTTAACTTACAGTAGTCAGTTCAGGTGAGACATTCAGAGTTGCTGTATTTAGATAAAGACAGAAGGCACTGATAGTTTATCCAAATGAACGGGTATAACAGGTATATATTTCAACTTCTCAATCACAGATGTCTGTGAACTAAAGTGAGAGACGTTGAAGCATTTTTGCTCTATATGAAAACTTGTTGAAGGTGTGAATCCAGAAATGGTGGTTTCTGTCTAGCATTGTACAGGTTATGGGATTTTATCTTTGTATTGACCAGCTGTTATGTTATGTGGTTATGTGGTGTGGATTATCAAAATTATCATTACCATGATACTAATGAGGATTTTTAAATTAGTTTGTTGAGAATCAATCATTTGGATAACAGACTTTAGTATAACGACACCATGATAAGATCACATCAGTATAGAACATGACTTAGCTGAAAGTTCATTAAGGATAATATTTAATTTATCACCCAGGTCAAATCTACTGTCAATATTAACAGGTTTATTACTGACTATGAAACACCTTTGAAGCACCTCTGTTCAAGTCAAGGCTGAAGCATCAACAACCATTACAACATGAAGATCAGCCTGAAAATCCAACATGTTGCTCTCTAAACCGGCTTTGTCTCTCCCGCCGACCGGCTGTCACACATACATGAAGTCAGGCTACTTGTGTGTGTAATGTACGTGGCAGCCAAATGTGAGTGTAATTGTGTTTAATGGCTGCAAGCCTAATTATTCCTGCTGAGCATGGTGATATCTGATGAATGATGACAAGCAGCTGGCGGAGACACACGCGGAAATATTTTTCCAAAATTTTTTTGGAAGTCTTGCACCATCAGTAGACTTTAATATAACAGTAATTTAGAGTAACAGGCTTAAGTTTAGGTAGGTTATCTTTGTGAATTAGTGCTCCAATTTCATTATCGATTAATCTGCTAAATGTTTTCTCAATTAATTGATTGTTTGATCAATAAAAAAAACCCACATTAATGTCTTGCTTTTGTTTGTCCAACAGTCCAAAACCAAAGGATATTCAAAAACCAGCAAATATTTGCATTTCAGAAGTCAGTACAGGTGAATAGCTTGCTTAAAAAAATTACTTAAAAGATATATGGATAATGAGAGAGAAAGTTTCTGCTGTAGTTTGAATGCACAGCCTTTGGAAAATATACCCTATAATGTAACCAATCATTTTTAATATGAGAGAGCGAGGGAGTGCATGTAGAGGGCAAGCTGATGTGCTTGACTGGCCATATTTAAAATATGGGCAGTGTGTTGAGGGGGAGGGTGTTGTTCTTGTCTTCCTGTTAATACCGAGGTGACACCACAGCATGAAACATCCACCCCCCTCGGGGGAAAGGACAAGATGGGAGAGAGACAGAGAGAAAGACAGATGGATTTGGAGCGACAAAGCTGAGGGAACAAAATGTTGTCTGTTTAAATTTATAATCCTTAAGATTTTCCTGAAATGTCCAATTTTAGTTGCCCATGCGCACTGCTCAGGTAGGCAGTGTGGACCAGGCGTAACTGCGATTGTCATAAAATCAATCAAGACTGAAATCTTGAGGATTACAAGGATTAGTTTTACTTTTTCCCTTATTTTGCATATGGACTACTTTACATTGATGTGGCTTCACAGACCGCTAAATGCAACAGCAGCAGTATCTTAATATATACTGAACATGCAGCTGTGCACCAGCAACATCCATATAGCTTCCTGTAAACGGTCAGTCACATTTTCAACACAGTTTACCTTTCAGCATTTCAACATGCAAATTATCCTTTAATCACAAATATCAAGAACGGATGAAATGTGCCAACTTTATTGATTTTGATTTGAAAAAGTATCCTACTTTTAAATGTTTGAGGAAGAGATATAAAGTGAGAGAATCCCTGTGGTAGAAATAGCAGAGAGAAAATATATCTGGTAAGTGGAAGGAAGTGGATCAGAGCAAATAAAAAAAAAAGATCCCCTCTGTTTGACAGTGAGAAAAATGAAGGGATATTTATAGATAATTGTATTATAGTTGCTTCACCGGTTACGTAAAATAGACCGGAGGAGAGTAAAGTATGACATGGTGAAAAAAGCAAGGGGAATGAAGAGCATGAGGAAGAGGAGGAAAGACAGGAGAGAAAGATGAGGAGGAGGATGGTTTGGAAAGA